ATAGATAGTAAATACTGGTATACATTATGCTATACTGCTTTATATTTATAAAATGTGACAAATGATTTCGACATCTCGATCTCTCCTGAGAAATAAATCTGATTAATAAAAAGAAGAATGAACTACAAAAACGAAGGGGGCAAAGGCGACGCTTTCTTTCTAAGTATCGCGCAGCATCGGAGTGCACTGCTCAGCATCGGAGAGCGTCGCAGTGTTAATTCTGAGTAAAGGTTTAATTCTTTGAAGCGTGCAGATGTGTGTTACTTTAATTTCGCATAATCATCTTCTTTATATGTATTGATATTTATGTGTTGAGATCAGCTTGAAGAGCATGAATAACTTGTCTGCAGTTTACATTGTTCATAAATGTAGATCCATCGGCGAAGTATATCGATGGCGACTAACTTAGTATCTAAAAACACAAGTAGCTAAAAGAAATGGTCTCGATTTAAATGGTTGTGTAGACATTGTTGTTGTCGTTGAAGTTAACGATGGTAACAACGGTTCCACCATATGAATGTTGATCAGTGATGATTTGGCGATTGTCATAAACCGTTCTTGTAATTGTTCAAAGTCATCGGTTTGGTAAGAAGAAGTTTGTGGTATTCCTTTGTGAAGAGAAGGTACAAAATCAACAAAAGAATTCGTACTTACATCGTAGGATATTTTACTGACCACTCCACTACAATCTTCGGATAAATATACAAAATTCGAATTAATTGTATCAAGATGTCCTTTCAATCGATCAAATCGAAATTGACACTCATTCATTTTTAGATCAATATTTTTATTATGTTGCTCCTGAGTACTAACATATGGTAAAGCACCGGGTAAATTAATACGTATAAATTCGTACGTGTTGCTACCAACTAGTATATGCAGTGCTGTTGCAAACCGTTGAACATATTCATTGTATTCGTAATTGTTTTTAGATCGACCTAGATTATTTATAATATTTTCAAGAAATGCAAAAAGAAATGGTTGGTGTTCATTTTGTTCACGACTATTATTCACAAAATCATTTAAATTCTTCAATAAAGTAGCTGGTTGTTCATTTGCTTGTAAACATGTCGTTGTTGTCTTGAATAAATTAGTATCATTATTATTTAGTTTATCGAAATTTTGTTGAAATCTTCGCAATAATTCAGTCACATACTCAATATTGTATTTAATGCCTGGTCGAACAACATATTCATTTGTGTTTGGATAAATAAAACAAGCGCGTCTCTTGAGGTCAACTAAATCTTCACAATTAACATCAAACAGTGAAAACGGATGTTTTATACGTAATAGTAATCGAACATTTGTAATCGCTTGTTTTTCTAGGATTTCACATTCAGCTGTACCTACGTACTTTTTTATAAAATCAAAAAACTGACCATTAGAGTATGACAGAATATCTGGTGGTAGTTGTGATATATCGTAAATTCCATCTGTGGCAATCATGCTCAAAAATTTGCGAATGTTGTTGCATAGATCAGAATACAAATCGACGAAGTGTTACTTAATTTCAAATTGAAAAACTATGAATAAGAACGAGCTCTTTTTCAGGAGAAGAGACAGATGTTCCATTATTTTGTTTAGAACTATTTTCTCTACGAGTTGTCTTACTAAGTCATTAGTGTTCTCTCTCAGAAATAGAAGCATGTCAAAAAAAGAAACTCTCGACTATATTTTACTTTATGACTGGAATATAAAATGTATAATATTTTCAAAAGCAAAAATTTCTTAAATAAAATAATTACACAATAATAAAAATATAAATCTTTGAGTACGGGTCAAAACAAAAATCTTTTTAAATATACTTAATGATAATTTGATATGTCGGTAGAAAGATGAAATTTGAAATGTTTTTATTTTTCGTTGAAATGGTAATGTCATTTCGATACCATAATTGCATTTCAAGTGCACATTTGATTCTTTGACAAATAGTGTATAATCATTACTTTCATGTAATAAAATACCTGGTGTGTGTGATTTACACCACTTTCCAATAAATTCATTAATTGATTGCTTACAATCATTGATACTTGGAAGCGCTTTTGAGGGCGTAGAGGGAGAATTATCGGTCGATAATAACGCTAATGAAGATCCAGCAGAAGAATTAGCAGTCAATGGTTGTGAGGCAGGTGTTTGATTGGTATTTGCTGATTCATCATTATCTGCCTCTCGTTGGGATTTTTTACGTTGTTGTTCAATTTTTTTCAAATATTCTCTGTCTTTTGCTCTTAACGTCCCAACAAAATCTTCAACACCTGCTACTGTACCCGGTTTCACCATATATGTATTGTCTTTCAATCTAAAACATACACGGGTTTGTATATCGTTCAAAGCTTCACATTCAACTTTTAACACGTCTAAAATATTGGGTAAGCGAATTAATATTCTTGTATTTTTAATACCTTGTATTTTAATCAATTGTACCTAGACATTGTTCAACAAATTCATAAAATGTATCATTTGCATAGAATAATACTTCATCCGGTGATAAATGAATATTTATACTTAATGTAGTAGCTGCGACTGTTGTTGTCATTATGAAATAATTCGGACTTGGTTGATGTGGAGATATTCACGTAAAAAAAAGTTATTATCGAATGATATGTGTGTTAAGATATCTACTTCGTCTAGTTTAAAATGTGCTCCTCTTTTGTTAGTCTTTGGAAGGTTTTAGGAAATTATAGTGGATTTCAGTTTGCATACGAAATGTATGTCTTTCGCTCCTTTCTTAAATAGTTTGTCGACACTACGACAGCTCGTTCCACGTACGTGAGAATGTTTTATGGGGTTTCTAGAGAAATTGATAAGAATACAGTTTCATGCAAACTCGTCTCGTCAGATTCTGCAATTCGTGCAGATTCCGCAACAGATTCTTCACAATTTCAGGCGATTGATACAGTGCAAAACAGAAAGTCTAAATCAAACCGTTGAAAAAAGTGCGATAAATGTTTGTTTGTCTTTCCTAACTGCACTTGTTTCATCGAGTATTTTGCCGGTTTTTAGTATGGTGTTGGACAGTGTTTCTAAATTATATTTAATCTGGAACTGCTTTTTTGTTTAACTTAGAGAAATGTTCAACAGTTAAATAAACAATGAAAGCTAATCCCATATGTCGGTTGTCAAGTTTACCCATTTCAACACATTACCACGTCTCTAAGCCGCAGTAGCGGAACGAGCTGTCGTAGTGTCGACAAACTATTTAAGAAAGGAGCGAAAGACATACGTTTCGTATGCAAACTGAAATCCACTATAATCTCCTAAAACCTTCCAAAGACTAACAATTTCTCTAGAAACCCCATAAAACATTCTCGCATACGTGTCTAAATGTCAGATCTGGATTGTTCGCGGAAAATAACTTATAAAAAGTGATTTTCATCGGTTTTCGCCGATGTTAATAAAAGACAATTCCCTGGAAATTCTCTGGTTTTCTAGAAGCCTTTTCATCTAGATGCTTTGTACCGGCATGAGATTTTTTTACTGAAATATATAGAAATCACTTCACTGTTTCGTTTGAGAGCAGAATGAAGGTTCTACGACACGTCCTCTAGCTAGAGCTACACGAAGCTCTGCAAGATAGGTCATTTCTGCTGAAAAATAAACAAAACAGCCATTTTTCGCTGGGATAGTATTTTGCATATAACTTTTGTTCCCAAAAAGATGAAGAGCTGGCATTTTCACCATTGAAATCAGCGTCCAAAACTGCATCGAGTAATGTGTGTCGCGCTGCTGGCGTAAATAGTTTTGTATAACGTGGTATGTTCCTTCTGGATTAACCCTATTGAATAAGTATATTCGGCATTGGCTTGGAAAGATAACTTTTTTCCAGAAATAAACGTGGACTTATACTTAAACTAGCTTCAACAGTTACCCTTAAATGACGAATACCTTCGACTTCTGATACATAGTTCTAAAGGAAAGAGCGGAAATTTATCAGTTTTGTCCACATCATTACTGTTGAGCAAGAAAGGCCAAGCAAGTGTGGCCGAAGTCTTAGTAGAATAGCTATCCATATTTCTTGATTAACTTCTGGTTAGTGAAAGACAGAGAACCACGACTGGATTCCCTTTCACTAAATTGTGAATGACTCGGCCCTATATGATACTTCCGCTGTGATGTATAATCGGCACCTACAAAAGGGTTTCTAGTGGACCAACCTCAGTTGCATTGTACCGTATAATTCCCATGAATGGAAGATGGCAGACATTCGAGTTGATACGTTACTTGTCTGTTGGGCAATTCGATTCTTGTATGAACTTCGTGGTTTCCGTCTCACCACAGATTGTGACAAAAAACGTGAAATTAAAACGTGAACGAAACACCATGAGTTGATGAAACGTGCAGCTTTACCAGCACCAAAAGAGCAGGCAAACGATGTTAATCACCTGTGAAGAAACAAGCGAAGAATTTTAAGTGGCTTACATGGGCGATCAATGTTTCAGCCTTCAACGATTCGGCAATAGTTTTCTCATCTCGTTCTGAGATATTTTTCCAGTTAAGCAAACTTAATGTTGTGTTCACCACTAAAGCATCTCTGATAGCTTTCTTACCATCATCTGAGATCATGCTTGATCTGATATTCAAACTACTACCCATCCTAAAATACAGGGCCGGCGGGCATTTTTTGAATAATTTTTGATAAGAATGAGATAGAGACCTGTGATTTTCGCTGTTCAATAGCCAAGGCTTGGGCAGAACTTCTCACAAGCGCAAGCAACTTTTGAAAAAATTCCAGAGATCGGGTTTTCAGAGGATCTTTAGAAAATCAGCTCCGTTCTCAGAAAACTAACATACAATGTTAGTAATGTTTTTGCATGCGTAGATAGTTCGGACGTTACTCTACAAAATTATGCAAGTCCCGGCTCTCTAGCTATCGTCGTTCGGGCTGGGCTCGCTTTCCCCGAGTGCGTGTCTATCTCCGAGCAGACATCTCTGGGAATCTCAAAATGCCACGGAGTATAGGTAATCGACTACGCTGAGCATAGTAGCAACATTTGTTTTTGTGTAGAAATGAATATAACTTCGCCAGAGGCATTGTTGTGAAAAA